CCACCCCCAACTGACCTGAACTACTAGTCAGAAACACTCAAGTCCCACGTGTCCTGCAGTCTATTTCCCAATTCTACTTTCGCCTACCAACCTGATTATGTATTTGCATGTCTGTATTTTTTTAATGAAGTAGCTTTACAATAAACCTTAATATCACATAACTTCCCTTCTCAATATTTTTAAACAATTCATACATATTTATTCTTCTATGTGAACTTCAGAATTCATTTGAGAGTTTCAAAAATTTCAGCTGGAACTGACATCTTTATGAGCTAAGAACATGGACAGTCTCACCATTTATTTGTTTCATTTCCGCCAAATACCACTTTTATTACATTTTTTCATACACCCATATACCATTGTCAGTTCTACTAATTGTCTACTTTCTACTACAGAAATGCCTGGCTTTCCTTATATGTATGTACCTTCACATCATTTCCTTTGTTCTCTCCTGCAGTAGAAATTTACTGCTGGGTGTTTGTTTTGGGATATAAGACATCTGAACAGTCTTTGCATCTGGAGGGAATCTCCACTGTCTGAGAAAAAGCAAAAAGAGGGCTCTCCTTTCTATTCTGGACACTGAATGAGGCCAGACAACTCAGACTCAGCAAACTGGACACTTCCACCAGGACTTTGACTCTTGAGGAGATAAAAGAAGGAGGCAGGAACATTTAGAGATGACTTACAGAAGAATCTGAAATCCAGCTATTGTAGGCATGGTGACAGCAAAAACAGCAACCCAACCAGACCCTTCCTATGGTCTGTCTGAGACTGTATGCTCAGCTGCTTAATCTCCCTTGGTTTCTACTGTGTTTTAGAGCCTGATGATACAGACTTCCCATAGATTCTGTGAACTACCTGATCAGTTTCCAATAAATTCCTTTTCTATTTTAGTTACCAGGACTCATTTTCATTATTTGCAATCAAGAACACTGGCATAAAATGAAACCAATTTATTTTTTCTCATCAATAGACAATAGGGAATAAGATAATGTTATTCGAGGACCTTATGTATGTCATTTTCCTTAAAGGTAGGACATTAGGTGAGGACTTAGTATACAGGTAGATATAGGGCTTGATACTATCCATGGTTTCAGGCACCCACTAGGGGTCTTGGAACATACCCCTCCAAAAATGGGAGGGAATAACAACGCATAAACCCTTGTAATAAAGAATACATTTTTTTTTTATTTAATTGTCTTCTCTGGTGATTATTAAGTACAGAAATCTTTAAATATACATATCTAGATTAGTAAAAGCAAAATTAAACAAATATTTTCTCTAGTTGTTAAAGTCTAAAACAAAACAACTTCTGATTCATCTTAAGCAAGAAACCAGCACTGCTTTCTATCTCCTACCTATCCAAATTTCCCAGCCTCCACCAGCTTAGTAAAAGGAAATATAACTCTGCTTATTCTGTTTATTATTAGAATATTCCTTGACTATAGAGACCTTCTTTTTCAGCAGTAGTTTTCAGCTTATATTTTTGATCTTGTGAAACTTATTTGTGAGTTACTTACATATACACAAATTTGCAAATTTAATGATATGTGGTCCTCAAAGTTATTTCAAACTACCTACAACTAGATGTTAGAGTCATGGTTTGATTTTTATCTTACAGTTCATCTCTGAGTATTCTGCTCAGAAGAAAGCACTAAGGATTTGTTTTTTCTATAAATGTATATCTGAGAATGTCTCTCTATTCCATATCAATCTTCACTTGGCTGGGTCTGGAATCTCTGGTCCCAACTCTTCTCCACTCAACACTCTAGGTTCTGCTCTACTTTTTTCTGGCATTTAGTGTTCAGCAAAACCTGATGAGTCAAATTTTTTGCCCATTTCTGTGTATTAGAACTATGCTTAATGGTATTAAACAGAAGACCCAAAGAACAAGGGTCTGAGCACAACGAAGGTTACTTTTCCTCTTATATGAAAAAGGTTCCCCATCCAGGGCTGGAAAAGAGACTCAATGTCATGAGAGGGTTTAAGATGTGGCATTTATCCTCAAGGTTACTTCATGTCTCAGAGGGCTGAATGGCATCAGTCCATGTCCCAGAGAATAAGTAAAGAAAAGCAAGTGAAGGGTCCAAGAGTGAGCACGCCAGCTTAGCTGGCACCTTGGCAAGTGTTCCCATGAGCCTGCACATTCAACAGCTTACAAGCAAAAGCCCCACAAGTCACCTTTGCCTCTACAGGAGGACAAAAAGCTGTAGCCTTTTAGCTGGGTCTATGGTCACTGAGAACAAAGTAAAGGCTGCCATTAAAAATGAAGGGGAGATGGATATTGGGTGGGCAAATAATTATCTCTATTCACAGGAGATAACATAATTTTTCTTCTTGGTTATGAAATTTGTTTTTGAAAATCTTAAATATTTCCAGATCATATGAAAGAGTTTTATGGGTTTTGAAAATTAATTTAACCTTGAATTCTTTTGATTTGTAGACCAAGGTCCTTTTTTTCCTGTTGAAGAAGTTTCCTTTATTTATACACTGATTATTACTTCTGTCCCTTTCTGTGTTAATTATCTCAGGCTGCCATAATAACGTGACACAGACTGGGTGGCTTAAATAATAAAAGTTTACTTTCTCACAGTTCTGAATGCTAGAAGTCTGAGTCCAGGATATGCAAGAATGGTTTCTTCTGAGGCCTCTTTGCTTCACATGTAGATGGCCGTCTTCTCCCTGTGTCTTCACAAGGCTTTCCCTCCAAGCACATCAAATTTCCTCTATTTATAAGGACCCCAGTCCTGTTGGGTTAGCGCCCGCCATAATGTCCTCATTTTAACTTAAGTACCTTCTGAAAGACCCCATCTCCAAATTGAGTCACATTTCAAGGTACTAAGGAGTAGGATCTCAATACATGAGCTTTAGAGGGGACACAATTCAGTCCATAACATGATTCCTTTAGTGTCATCCTCTGGAATCCCTAATTCCTGGGGCTGACCACCACTCACCATCTTTCATATTTATCACCTTTCTTTCATCATCTTGTTCTTTTCCACTTCACGATGAGGAAAGTTTCCCTCCATAGAATGGATTCAGTTCATCTCTCTAATGATTTAAATAAAGACTTACATTTCCTGACTTCACTGTAGTTTCTTACCTTTGATTCATGTCTTAGCTGGTCCTGTTAGTTTCCCTCCCTAGCCCATGCTTGTAACTCCCATTACTTTTTCACAGAAGCCATGTTCTTGCTGCCACACAACCACAAGATTACAGTGGAATTCAATGGGTATAGGTCTTGGTGGCTGGCTGATCCAGGCTGTATGGGTCTGCTGACCTTGGATCTGTGTGTCTCTCTCTCCTGCTGGGATCAACACCAGCAAGGCAACAGCAGGGGCATGAGAGGGCACAGTCACCAGCACAATCCCGTCTGAAGGACACTGAAGTCACGTGTCCTAATCACAGCAAAAGCCGAAGGTTAGAGGTAGGAATTATGCTTCCCCCACTAAATGAGGGGAAGGAATGATTATTTGAAACATAATCTACTACATCATGGTTCATGCACCTTTTGAGAAACCTAAGCTTAAGTCTCCTGTACTTTTCTTGATTGCTTTATAAAAATTTTTTTCAAAAAATTGTTTTTCCTCTGAGACTTTAAGGTGATGCTCAATTTAACCTGATGCTATAAAATATTTTCATAGGACTCACAATAATTTTTGTTCATTAGTGAGCCTTGATGGGAAGAAATCTCTTCCAGCCTGCCATTTGCCACCAGGCAGGGTTAGTCTTTAAGTCTCAGGTACACCTCTCTGGATCAATTTGTGTGCCTGGCAGAGGTTCTTCTAGAACCTGTGTGCTGAAAAGAAATAGAAACTTCTCTTTCTCTGTCAGGGTCTCTGACTAACTGAAGCAACACACACAAAATTGGCATTTTTTGTTCAAACAGGCATAAGACTTGAAAGCCTCCATTCCCAGTATGCACTGCACCCAGTGCTCTTCTTGTCTACAGGTGGATGAAAAAGCATGAACATTTGTATTTCAGTAGAACAGTGCCAAAATGCCCTCTGAAAAGGTCTCACAGCTATTCTAAAGGAATGCTGGAAGGACACATACCATGCACAACTATCCGATATGTTAAAAACTCTAATGGCCTACTCTGTTAAGATCTAGTCTGTTTCCAACCTAATGAATCTTATAGATCATGTCTATACCAGCCTAATGAATTTCTTGAGTCCTCCCAGGTCCTTAAACGTGGGGCTATATAAAGAATGACAAATATATGGACTTTGCAGCAACATGGATGGATTTGGAGTCGATCATACTCAGGGATTTATCACGGAAACAAAGAAGAGAGTTCCATATGTTCTCACTCATAAGAGGACCTTGAACATTATAATGCTATAAGAAAGCAATTGGCAGTAATGGGAAACTGTCGGTGGGGGGGATTGGCAGTTGAGGGAAACTGCTAGGGGAGGGAGGGGCATACCTCATCAACAGGGGTACCTGCATGATCAATGTTTGTATACCCAACCCTGAATTGTACCCTACCTCTTTATAACAAATTTTTTTTAAAAGTGGGGCTATGCTATAACCAATGAAGGAATAAAAGTGTTCTGTCTAAACCCTTCCTGAATTATTCCAGAAAAAGGACTGTCCAATGTTGAATATAATCCTAAGTAATATGGGATCTTATAACTTCAGCTGATACATCTGTACTTCTTAATTAGGCTGACTTCACTGTCCAATTTAAGGCTCTTTCAATTTCCTCCTGAGATACACCAGAGTGTCTCTGATCCAGAATAAAGAGACCCACAGTAAGTGTTTCCTGTATAACCTTACAGAAGAGGACCACAATAAAAGTAGAATGAATGAACAAACAAACATGGAATATCAGCCCCTCAGAACATGGAGCATTTGCTGTTAAAAAACCATGTTCACGTCTCAAAGACTGTACAGTAAAGGAAAACAAGCAACAACAATATTCTAGAAAACAAAGAATATTCCTTACAATACTCCCTTGCCCCAAGACACTGTAACAAAGAGCCTCTCGAACCAACCTCATTCTCCCTTTCTCCTTGTTACGCTGCCCCACTCGGCTGGTGGACTTGATGTACAGATGTCGGTGCAGCTCATCTATGAGAACCAAGTGCAAGTTCATCTTCTTGCTGTGCAGCTCCAGTCTGAGGTCACTCAGTCCTTCCACCTGGAGCAGGGGACCCTCCAAAGACTCAACTGCTGATACCTGAAAAGGGAAGTAAAGAAAGTCAAAGAAGTACAATTGAAAACCTGATAATATTACAAATTAGAAAGACTATTTTTTTTTTTTGAGTTGGTGTCTCACTCTATCACCCAGACTGGAGTGTGGTGGCCTCTCCCGGCTACTGCAGCCTCGACCTGCTGGGCTCCGGTGATCCTTCCACCTCAGCCTTCTGCAGCTGGAACTACAGGCGTGCGCTATCATGCCCGGTTAATTTTTGATTTTATTGTAGAGATGAGGTCTCGCCAAGTTGCCCAGGTGGGTTTCGAACCCACAGGCTCAGGCAATCCACTCACCTCAGCCTCCCAAAACACTGGGATTACAGGCTGAGCCACCAAGTCTGGCTAGAAAGACTATTTTTAAAAGGTACCATCAAAAGGGAGTTTATAACTCTTATCAACATATATAAGGCTTTGTAGAGCATAATGTAGACAAGCCTAGACCAACCCTTGAAGGAAGAGTTTATTACCTGATAGGTAATGATAAAACAACATGGCAAAGATAAACATGAAGGCATGTCAAGCACAATGACAAAGCTCTCCATGTTACATAAACCCACACACCTGCTTGTCAGTGGACACCTGCAGAGACATCCCTGATTAATGGTTACATCATTCATATTCTCACAGAAATCCCATGTACTAATGGTTTAAATCAGTTCTCAAAGTTTGCCTCTTAAGACCAAGACTAAATAAAAGCTCACTGCATGAATGTCTTGATAATAACATATTCTCACAGCAACCATGAGTCAGAGCTTGGTCAGTCTGAGTCACACATGTGTCTGAACCAGGTTCTTTGTCTTTCCCAAATACACATCACACAGAGATAAATGCATTTTCCACATGAAGGTTACAAATGAACAATAGCAGTCATCACCTCTGCTTGGTCTGATCCAGTTTGACAGAAAAAAAAATGGGATTTGAATGGTGAATAGAAAATAAAATATGAAGACAAAGATACTCCAGATGCAAAGTAGCTTGGAAAATGTTAAAGACAAAAAAGATTCAAGAATTGAATGACTCCAAGTATTGGAAGACATTGAGTGGCATCTTTGTCACATTTTTGTAAAAACTGTGCAGGAGTGTAGGGCAGTAAATGGACAAGAGAAGAACTCAGGAGACCTGGAGTAACATGTTCTGGAATTCTGGTGACAGCCACAAAGGGACAAGAAAGACAGCCTGCAGGACGGGATCCAAGACTCACGTCTACAACATCATGTTTATGTGTGTCTCTACGTATAAAGATCGAGTGCATTTTTTAAAGAACAAAATGTAAAGAGCGGATTCCAGTTACTATTCCTTAGGAGGAAAAAGGAACAGAAGAGGAAATTTGGACGAATTTTCCTAAAAAAGTGGAGGTAAGATGACGAAAGCTGAGCTTAGAGGGAAAGGTACCAGTGACTCCAAGGGACTGATATGCTGGGATTGCTCCCTGCTTGGGTTACACTTCCCCATGTTCCTACTAGGTACAGACAAAAGCAGTAGCTAACAGAACTGATTTCAGAGTAAACACTTCCACATAATTATGGATCCAAACATGCTGCTAGAAAAGGCAGCATTTGCACAACAGCAATAGACCACGAAAACCATGAAACACAATGACCAGGACTGCTGGCCACTAATGCAGACAGCCTAAGGAGTCATCTAGGAGTGGACAGTGACTACGGGAAGCTTTGTAGCTGCCACAGGTGCAAACCAGCCCGCCACCATAGGGAGAACGCAACAACTTCCCCACAAACACAGTGTTTGTCTTGTGATGGGCCATAAGCAAATGTCAGCAGCAAATAAGTTTCCTTAAGCCAACCAACAGTCAGGAATAGGAAAGTGACAAGCCCTGGGCCAGCGCTGCCCTCTGAAGCCTGCAGTTCATTTTCACACTGACTTGCAGCTGCCCCAGCCACGTGAGCCCCTGGGCCAGTGCAACTGCCAGCAATTCCAAATGGAAAGGCAGCTTCACAAAATGACCAGAGTGTCCCCAAGGAGGAGAAACAACAACAAATTCATTCACACTTATGCCCTAAAATGGATTTTAACTCAGGTCTGGAGCAAAGAAAAGAGGATGCATTAACCTTCAGTGACACCAAGATCCAGAAAATGAAAAATAATTTGGCAAACCACTGGCCCATCATGTAGCCTTATCCCTCAAGGTAATTAAATCCAACTTAGACATTTAGGCTTAAAACCACCCACTGCATATCCACACTCGATTTATTTGTAGGAATTTGAATGAAAAATTTTAACCCAAACAGCTCATGCTCCAATACAAAATTATGTGACAATGTCAAATTTCAAAGTCACCAAATTAAGTTAAAAATTAAAATTCAGGTAAAACACTTAGAACAGTGCCTGACACATATTGAGTGTTCACTGAAATTATTTTTTAGCAGTACCTGTTTATTCTGTGAATAAAGAAACTCAGAGGCTATTCCCAGCATGATTTAATGCAGCACTTTCAGGGAGTGTTCTTCCCTTCACTGTAACCATTAAAATAACAAAATTTTTGAATATGTTTCCTCAACCCAAAATACAAGTACAATTAACATGTTTAATTAAGGACAGTCTAAGAACTCCAAAGATTTGAAACCCTTATCACAAAAGTGAATAGACACAAATCCTTTATGTCTATAAGGAAGCACCAGGCTTCATTTTCTGGCCTCCACTTATTAACAATGTATTTAAAAAGCTCTAATTCTGGAAACTGGGCAAGGCCACTGTCTCCCATACACAGCCATATCAAGTAGCCTTCAAACCAATCTGAAGAAAACATTGTCAATGCAACATCAGTTTAGAAATTGATCTTACTGGGTTTAAGGATCTTGTACCATAAAGCTGACACATAGAGGAAAACTGGGGGAGGCAGCAGTCAACCCAGCAGACCAGCAGTGACAGTCAGTTCTGTTGTGGGAGGGGAGGGGATTCCAGGCACTTACTTACTAACATCCGGGATCTACTGGAATCATTAAGTAACTGTCTATACTTAGAAATGTGCATGACCAATGAGAAAAGGATCTTAATGCATGTGAAGTGGTCATTTTAAAATGTAGTTCACTGTTTTCCAAATTTGGTGACTATGGAGTACTTTCTAAATAATACACTGATGAAACATCAGCAGGAATTTAAAAGATGCAAATGGATAAAAGGTCACAGCAACAAAATAGTCTCAAAGGTCAGATGCTATAAGAAATTTTCAAAATCAGGTTCATAAGTATGATGGCCTGCAACACTGAAAAATGTCACAAGTATATATTAAAATTATAGGATGAGACATAGCAGATGAAAGGGCAAACAGACAACGTACATGGAACAGTGAACTGGTAAATGCTATGTATGCTTCTACTCAAACACCATGAGTTCACGCCCCAAATGTTTTCTAATATGACTCCTAAAATTCTCAGGGATGCTACGTCATTTCTTAAAGTTAGATTACTGCCGGGCTCGGTAGCCCAGCTTGTAATCCCGCGCCTTTGGGAGGCTAGGGTGAGTGAATTGCCTCAGCCCGAGGGTTCGAGACCCACCTGGGCAGCGAGACCTCATCTCTACAATAAATCAAAAAATCAGCCGGGCATGGTGGCGCATGCCTGTAATTCCGGTTACTCGGAAGGCTGAGGCGGAAGGATCGCCCCAGCAGGCCGAGGCTACGGTGGCCAGGAGCGGCCACTGCACTCCAGTCTGGGCGACAGAGTGAGACTCCAACTCAAAAAAAAAAAGTTAGATTACTATATAATGGTAAGAGTCAGCTAAATGTATTTGAAATTTTTATTACATTTTTTTAAAAATTTTGGAGAAAATAAGATACTACTAGTAGAGAATTTTTCACAGAACACCTATTACCATCTAAGAGAATATTAATGTTCTAGTCAACACAGTTGGAAACTGTGTTGTGGGCCATTCCCAGTACCAGCCTCACTGAAGAAATGCTGTCAAAGAAATGTATGATGCTTTATTTTTGTAGGTGAGGTGGGAAAATGATATCAGTTATTACTTCTAATTAGAACTAAGGTTCAAGTCAAAAAAAGAAAATAAGTAAACAAGAAATAATCCGATAACTAAACCATCTGCTAGTTAATAAAAATACTTACTTTGGCAACAATGTTCCCTAAAGAAAGCAAATGTGTTCCCATCATTGAGAACAAAACAAATATTTCCTTATCAGGACTTTGAGAAGTACATGGTTCCAAATATTTTACTGCTTTTCAGTAGGTGAGTAAGTCTCCCTTAAGAAAGATTTTTTCTAGTAAAACAACAGATGCAGTGAAAAGACCCTAAATTAGGCTACTCCAGAAAAAACCTTCCCTCTTCCTACCTGTCTATAAGACTACACAAGCAATCTCAACTAAATAAGAATGCCATTCTTAGCTGACTGTGAAAAAACAAAAGAAACATGTCCTGGAGCCTCAGATTTACTGAATGTCCAATTCTCTACCTGCTGCTACCCTGCCCCTGAACTGCTGGAAGGCAACCCCCCCATGGCTTCAGACCAGGCTCCTCCAGAGTACCCTCCACTCCCCAAGTGTCCACCTCCAGACCTGGGGAGTCCCAGATGGGCACACAAAATCTCCCGGTCTCCCAGAATGATGCAGACCCACCTTGAAGCAAGCAGGAAGGCATCTGCCAAATGTGTACCAAGATGTGAATCAAGAACCCAGACCATTCACTCATCAACCATTTCCACTTTGCCACACCATATTTCCCACAGCAGAAATCTTTATCTTTATCAGACAGAAACTGGTAGCACAAATTGAATGCAGCTTAAAAGCAAGCAAAAACAAACAAGGAATTTTTCATGTGCTAATTTGAACCGCATGAAAATACTGTTTTCACAGGTCAAAAATGATCAAATATTGGCTGTTTCATATAGTTTAACCTAACAGTTTTAGCAGCTGTCTGAAAGCTTCGGTGCATTTGTGTTGTCACTGCAGTCTTTGAAGAACATTGTGGCCTTTACAGAGCCCTATGTACTTAACTGCAACTGATAAACTAGGCCCA